AAAAAAAATAGGAGATATATCAAGGGAGGGAGGGAAGAGAAGTTGTGATTCTCAACTATTCAGAGGAGCTATAACGGCGAGTTTCTCTGGAGCGATCAACGCAGCTGTTAATACAAGGTTGGAGAATGTGTTCAAAGTTAGGGGCGGCTCCAAAGGTAGAATGTACACATATTAAACTTGTAGGTGGGCATGTACGAGCAAGAGGAAACAGGAATATAGGTGAATTAGGGGTAGAGCTGAAAGAGGTAGTAAGCAAGGGAAAAAGGAGACAAAGAATAGGCCTCCACTCACAATTCATCACCGTATCATTCATACAAAGGAAAAAGCGGAATAAACAGCAATAAGTGGAATAAAACGGGGGATACCCAATCAAGGGAATAAAGGCGGCAGATTATGCTTCTGGGGTATGAATAGGTATCAGGAAGAAGAAGGAATTGACAGGCTTAGAATTAGAAAGAGTATGAAATGCAGTCAGTGGCTGGTGGAGAGGAAGGAGGGGGTTAAAAGTGACATCAGCGAAACGTTATTATAAAGGGATATGTTAAGAGGTGAAAGCAAAAGGTATAGCGAATGATTATTTATGCTGGATGCTGCCACTTAGACGATGGGTCAGACCCTTGAGAGAATCTGACTGAGGAGAAAACGAATTAGTGGTTTTGCGGACGCTCCGCTTCAGCAAAGAACGGGTGGATGCATCATCGTCATCTCTAGAAGCCACTATGTGAGTTTCCGACTGTGGTATTTGTTTTTGTTCCTGTGTGCCGTCAGTCTGAGAGCAACTGGCCAAGTCAACGTCCACCTTTTTCTGTGCTGCCATCCGAGACCGTTCGTATCTCAGCGTGACATCACCCTTCCAGCGGGTGTCGAGCAGGCGATCCCAGAAAGTGAAGAATGGTTGGCTGAAGTTTGATTTGATGCCCCAGCTCTGGTGGTGAATGTCATGATAAGCGGCGTTGTTTCCAGTGACATGCTGAAGGGGGTCCCAGGGGAAGGCGTAACCGCAGTGGTCATCGACAGTCTTGAGCGTTGAACAGGTGAAAAACCACATTCCCTGTCGAGTGGTCATGCCACAGGTGAGGAATGCAAGACCGGTGCCGGCTGTGTCGAGAAGGAAGCCCTCAAATGGATGGTTATACAAAGCACCAAAGGCGTATGGTACATATAACCTATGATGCCTTGAGTGGAATGTAGCTGTTTCATGTCAGTAAAGAACATAGCAGTCGACGCAGAGATATGAAAATGCAAAAAAAACTTACTGTATAGCCACTTGTTCATATGCATAGCGCGGTGAAGGAAGTACTGCCATGTGTCGACAAAGGTGATGGCATATACAAACTGGAGCGCCGGGATAAGGTAGTAGTATATAGAATAGCCAACGGCCCACTCCCAGGCGGCGAAGGCAGGTGCTGTGGCAGTCTCTCCTGTTGATGAAGTGACCACCTGGGTCAGAAACGGGTAATGGCCTCCTGACACGACAGCAGCAAGAATAGGATAGCCCGAGAGCTTGGCCGCCAGGCTCACAGGGTCAACTCCTAGCAGCATCATAAGCCGGGGCACCGCGCGCTGGGCGAGGCGGATACGGGTGGCCCAGACGGCAATATCATATTCTTCTCTGCCATTGAACTCTGGCTGATCGAAGAATATGAGCAAGATGCCAAAGAGGGTCTGGATGATCTGCTGTAGGATGACGTCGCGCACCACCTCCCAGCGGGTGACATGGTTCCTCTTCAGAATCTCTGCTGGAGTGTGAAGGCGGTATTGCGGGAAGTAATCATTCACGTCTATCCAGTGGAAAATCATGGACAGGGCCCAGTAGGCAACTACTGGGAGAATGAGAATGGTGGCATTATCTGGAATAGGGGCGATGAGTGGTTGGCGGGGAGTAAGGGTGTAGGACGGGAGCGGCGGAAGCTCGGTTGCGGAAGCGTTGAGCATGACGGGCAGGCCAGACGGTATAACAATGGCGGAAAAGGAGGGCTAGACACTGTCGGGAGGATGTTTCCTTGAGCTTGCCTGTCACTCAGGATCAAAGTTATATCAGACGACAGAGGATGCTGGGCCCATGGGATAGAGGAGTAGAGGTAGGCCAGGCAGATAAAATCGGACAGGATCGGGAAGAACGAAAGTTGTGCGCGGTTAGGGGCTGCTCGGAAGGCTGAAGGAGAGAATCGAGCGAGGCACAACAGGACGTCGCCTTTTTATTCGAGAAATCAAAGATCTGAAGAATTGAACGTCGAAAGTCGAAGTTGATGTCGAAAAGTCGGATGTTTTTTTATTTTTCGACTCCTTCCTTTTTCGGCCAGAACAGGTGATTATCACGTGAATGACATCACGTGTTATTGTGATATAAAAGTTTATTCTATGTTTTTATTTTATGTATTATATGTTAAAGGGGGATTTTCAATATGCATAGAAATCATGATCCATGATTCGGGTGATTCCATAACTACTATGATGGCAATTATTGACTGCCAGCTGTTAATTGAACGGTAAAAGTGCTGCTATTATTAACTATACACACTTAGGATAACTAACTAGTTAGTCAGTTATCTGTACAGCAGGCTTCTTTTCCCCCTTAATGATACCCTCTTTTCTTCCCTTTGGTCCAGAGCTTTACTTTTCGCCCCTGTGGCCTGCCCTCCGCTCACCTGTAGGCCCTTCCTTAGCTATCGACCCCCGAGACCTCTCTGACTGAAGGTCCCTCTTACCTCTAGTACAGGATAGTAAGGAGTAAAAGGGAAGCATCCTTAATAAGGGAGACTATAAGAGAGGGCTAGGTAAGAGAGCCGGAGCTACTAGAGAGGAGATGGCTAGAGGAAAATACCTTTAGCCTAGCAGGGAGAGCAGGCTGGAAGTAAGAGTAGTATAACTAATCAATTAGGTAGTTATGTGGAATTCTCCCTTACAAGCTGAAAAGGAATGTTGACCGGTTGGTCTGTCTAATCCGCCGTCAAAGCCTCTCAGCGAACTGTTCAATGATCCAGGCTAGAACTTATGAGCCTTTCCTGCAAAGGAATCGATAGCAAATATCTGCTCCATCGCCACTAGCCAGTGGCTCTGAAGACTGGGCCAAACAATCCTAACCGGACAATATACCCGATAACTCTATTTAGTAATGATATCAAGAAAAAGTGAACGCCTTTTTACGGCCTAGCCATCGCTCAGGAGCATGACCTGCTCCTCATACCTGTCGCCCTCAACGGGATGTTGAGAGAGTATACGGTTTATGTCTTCCAAATCCTCTTCAGCTAGAGACAACACCCTGGAGTTTTCAAGCACTCTCTCGCGCTTTGTTGAGCCCGGGATAGGGACTATGGTAACATGGAACCTCTTCTCTAGAGCAAGAACCCAGGATATGGCGATCTGTGGCAAGGTCGCACCCTTCCGGTCGGCAATGCCCTCGAGGGCCTTTACGAGTTTTATGTTATTCTCTATTTTGCCTGGTTGAAACCTTGGGAAGGTCTTTCGTCTGTCCCCATCCGGCAGGTCATCAGGAGACTGGATCTTGCCAGTCAAAAACCCGCGGCCCAGGGGTGAATAGGCGATGACGGGAATATTGAACTCTTTGCATGTTTCGAGGATCCCATTGTTTGTGGGGCCAGTGCTCCAGAGGCTTAGCTCTATTTCCACCGCAGCAATTGGAGCTACTCTGGCTGCCCGTCGAATCGTCTCGGCCCGAACCTCAGACAGACCGATACCCCCGATCAAGCCCTCGTCGCGCATCTTTAGCAAGGCCGCCATCGTCTCTTCGATGGGTGTATTCCTGTCCACGCGCGAGCACTCGAAGATGTCGATTTTCTTTGTTCCTCCCAAGAGGCGCACACAGTTCTCTACACTCGGCCGTACTCCTTTCTCTGTCCCGTCGAAGGCGTGGTCTTTACCCATCCCGCCCTTTATGCTTAGCACGACCTTGTCTGCATCCTCAGGATACATGCTAAAGTATGCCCTGAGTAGCTGCAGTGAGTTCGCGTCCGGAGGGCCATAGTGCTCGCCGCCATTCCAGAAGTTGGCTCCTTGCTCGAGAGCTGTCTTCATCACCTTGAATGCATCCTCGTACTTCGTTGGATTGGGCGTCCATGTGAAGCCTTTTCCCCTATTCATCAGCCATCTAATCTGCTAACCTGACCTGAAGCAAACTATTTACTCACCCATTAAGCCGTATCCAATCTTGCCCACTGGCTTGCCGAGTATCGTACTCATCTTAGGAATTAAAATAGTCTGCCAACAACAAGTAGATGGTGGTTTTCCAATATGGTCAGCAATGGGGAATTCTGTGGTCAATAGTTGCGGAGGTAGAAGATGTTACACTTGTCCATCCCCTCACGTTGCGCAGCACATGCCTTTTGGTTTTCCATATCTTCCACTTTGGTACTCTACGTCATTTTGTCTCCTTACAGAGAAGGCACCAACTTGCCACTAGGAGCCTCAAAATAAACAAACATAAAATCACGGATTTCAAATAGAGAGCATAGCTGAAGAAATACGATCTCGATTATTCATTGCGTCGTCAGTGCCTAGGTATATGCTGAAAAATTCATGAAAAACAATAAATGAAGTAGAAGGAAAGCAGAATCTGACCCAAAGGTTCCCTGAGGTATAATGGAGGCACCAAGCGAGGGATAACAGTTATTTTTGCGTAAAAGAAAAATTACATGGAGAAGTTCAAGGTAGAAGAATAGTAACCAAAAAGATCAAGATGCTATATCTTGTGTCCAGTTTCCACATCTTCATAGTTAGGCGAATGGGTGTCAGAAAACTCTTCTGTGAAACCGGATACACGACGCTCTCTCGGCCGTGACTCGGTATTTTCAGACACTACAACGTTGTCAAGGGTTACCGGTACACCTATGCTGGAGAAGGATGACCCGTGGCGACCATGAGTTGGTCTGGCTGGATGGTGCAGTTCTCGCTGGTTCTCAGGAGACGGTGAGGTTGCAGGAGATATGGGGCTGATGAACGATGGCGTCTCACTCGGGTGTCGAGCAGTCACGGGAGTGTCGTTGAAGGGGGTAGGTAACTCTGACGGGCTCATCACAGTGCCAGCTACACAAAATGTTAGTTATAAAGTGTTTGATAGCTATTAATATCATACATATGTGATGTAGTTACTTACCATGCATCTCATGTATTGGAGAGCTGCCAGCCTCCGGGGCGTTGAGATCAGAATAAACAATAGTGGAGGGAGGATGGTTATTGGGGGACACGACCGAGTCAATCCCCGAGTCCGAGTATATACCTGTCGATGCATGCTTGTCGTTGATGCCAATTTCAGTGGAGGTAGTAGTCATGTCTGGCTTGTGTGATGGCTGTCCCATTCCATACATCCAACCAAGGATGCGTCTCCTAGCGACCTCACTTGTTCCTCCAAGGCTAGGAGCGTATCGTCTTTCTTTGCGTCGACGGAAAATCAGCCACACCACCGCTAGAGCAGTGATGAATATCAGGCCTAGGACAACACCTAGAACTGCCCCAACCCATCTAGGAAGACCGCCGCCTGCTCCCTTATCCTCTCCGGGGGGAGCGGTAGTACCGGGAGAGGATGGGGTTGCCTTAGCAGGCTCATATGGATACCACTTTTGGATAGTTTTGGTATATTTCTTGCCAAAAATATCTGCCAGTTTATCGTTATCCCAGCTGTCCGGCTGAGTTTTGGTGGCTCCCCCTTTCCCACTATTTTCAAGGAGTAGGGAATATTAGTAAAGGTTGCCAGTAAAAATATAACAAGAATGGAGGGATTCCTTACGTTCCGCCAATCTTCCTGGTGATCACATCTGGAACTATGTACTCGCTCCACTCCCTTGGGTCATACTTATCCTTGAATTTCAGCTCGTTCAAATTAAATACCCGGACTAAAGGTCCCACTAGACATGATGTTTGTGATGTATATTGACCGCCAATCACGAACATTTGATCCGGGTATGGCTTGACACACTTGTGTGCGCGGCGGCCCATGTTGCTTTCTCCAGTATATACTTTTGTCCAGGTAAACGAAGGAATGGACAGAACATGCACATCATCGTACGGCCTGACGGTGCGTTCGGTGCCATTGTACCCGCCGTAGATGTATATATTGAACGAGCTCCGATCTGCCGCCTCGCCGACAACTGAGCAGAATGAATTCGATGCGGGCGGTATATCGCCTGTAGTCTTCTGTGAATACCTTTTTAGAAGTCAGTGACTATTCAAGCTGTTACTAGGAAAGGTTTTGCATAAGTTACCATTCTCCAGTCCCAATATCATACAAGCTAACTGTCTCCATAAACGCGGAATCTTTCTTAGTCTGGCAGAATGTGTTAATGATAGAGTCAACGCTAGTTGGAGAACACTATGCAACAGTGCAGTCAAAGACTTACGTTTTCCTCTTTCTCTTGGGAAGATATGGGTGAAGGATATATGGATTCCGGGTTTGTAACTCCACCTATTACGACCATGACGCCGTCTGAGACAGGCAGCCAGACCAACTCTGCACTTGATCGTCCAGTAACCCCCGTAAGATTGTCACGGGCAAATTTTGGTTCGTCAAATCTGGACAGGTCAACAGATATAAGAGTATTAGCTGTTATATTCGGCTGAGTTACTACGTCTATGACGTCCCCATTTTCTCGTTGACGTCCACTGAAGTAGTATCCCTTGTTTTCGCTTGGAACGGATACGCCTGCTCCATGGGTAATGTAGCGGGTGACATCTTCACGGATTTGAGGTAGGATGGAGCCTGGTTTGAAAGGCGGTTTAAATGGGCCGTATTGATAGGCATCATATCCATAGAGGGACGAGTTTGTGGGGGTTTGGAGTGGCCTCCGAGTAATACCACTATAAAAGTCTCCTAGTTAGAACATGGAACGGGGTGTTATAGGCAGAAGGAGTAAGTACCCATAAGTAAGCAGGGTATAGTCACTGTAGAAAATTGTTCCATCAATATAGGTAGGCGCAAGAAGCGATGCATCTCCGCCAGCGAGCCTTGGTATCCTTCCAAGCAGGTCTGTGAAATTGGTTTTCATATCAAAGGAGGAGTTGAATGAAAGCGTAAACATATTGTCCAAATCGGGGCCTACGTCCTGGATTAGCTAGTCTGTGACGTGTTTTTCATTTATTAAAAGTCCCTACCAGCCTTCTCTAGGATCGGCCTGCCATCTTGAAAATTGCTACATATTGTCAGGAATAATAACGATCAGAAAGTATCATAATGGGAAACTCACCGTTGCCATAATAAAGAGCCTCCATCAAGGTAAACAGTGTCGCGAATAACTCCAGCTTGAGATACCAGGCGTCAGCACTCCAGTAGACCCAAGTAGATTACCGTCAGTCAGTACATACCTCTGAACCTATACCAGTTACAAAAGTCGACGTTAGTCTGGACTTTATCTCCCTGACCGTTAACCACGGAGACAAAGGCTAGTCCTAAGCCAGCAATGGCGCTGAACGACTTCATCTTGCTGGCCATCAAGGATGAAATAGGCGACCAAATGGATTGAAGCCCAGTCGAGGATGTGAACTTGCGCCTGGCTCTTCACTCGAGAGTCGAGCGCTTAGCTAGGCTGTGGTGCGCTATGCAGGTCAAAACACTTTATCTGTCTGGCAGAAGGCCACTCTCATGGCTAGTTTCTAAGCTAGTCTGCGCTTGAAGTGGTGATGTCTGCGCTTGTTAAACGATGATGCCGCTGCAGACGAGGGCTTGAAGTTGAATCGACTGCCCCTTGTCCCCGTGAAGGGTAGAGGAAATCCCCGGTGACTGGAGCGTATCAAGTAGGGCGACGCCTGACTGGGCCGAGTTGGGAATATATCTACTCCGTAACTTATTCGTTGAAGAAGTTACTGCGCATGGTAAGTAGGTTTGTGCCGGAATAGGGCTGATTTCAGTATTTTACAGTGAAAAACACTGACTCTAATTACCTTCCCAGGTCGCAGAATCGTGAAGAAGGGCCAAAAAAAAATAGAGTCAAACAAGAGAACCATCAGCTTGTCAGGAGTGATGATAAAGAGAGTGATGGATCGGTGGCAGTGGCCGTTAAGCGGGACTGAGGCTGGAGTAGCGCTCCCACGACCATACCAGCTGAAAGGTTGAGAATACTGGAATCAGAAGAAAGAAATGGGAAATTG